ATGTGGACCCCCACATGTGGGAGCTCGGTCCTTGGCCCCCATTGTGGGTCTCACGATGCCCCTACCAAATTCATAAATATAAGAACTACCCTTTAAAAGGGATTTAAGCCATAAAATAATTTATAAATTTTTTAAAAGATATTTAAAATCATAGCAACATTAATAAAATTGAAAGCAATATTTTTGAAGATCTTAAAAAAAATCTAAAACACTCGTAAAATAAATTTAAAAGTGGATTGGTTCTTATGTGTGCTAGAAACGCTGATTCAATACTATCTTCTCAAGCCAATCCAATGGGACCCATAACCCAAAGTTATGTGCAGGGATCGTGATTGATCCATCAAAACTGGCGAATAAATAATGGAAGCATAGACTCAGTATGTGGATTATAGGTTGCCCCCCAAGAGCAAGTGACATGCACATATCACTAAAGTGCAAAAGGTACTATCTCAATGATTATAGACATGTATCCCTTTGTAAGGTTGTTTCCCAAAATACATGTGTCATATGTATATGTCGTGCAAAAGTTTGTTGATGATTTCACCTTCACTCTTACAAGCCTGCAACTGCATACAGGAGACCACAAAGCTATCTTGGCAACCTTGTAGAAATCATCAATTGGAAGATTTTCATGTTTTCATCCGGCTTGACTTGCACAGCCTCGAGTTCGCAAACTAAAGCTCTAAATTGCTGTATATGCTTGGTTAATTTGCCTCCTTCATTCATCTTCAAATCTGAATATTTTTTCATAGCCGTTGTTTTTCTAGTGTGAGAAGGAGTGGCATAATCTGCCTCGAGTCGTTCATGAATCCCCTTTGCTGTCTTCAAGGGCTCATACTAGAGAGCATGGGTGTCATCCATGGTCATAAGTAGAACATACTGTGCCAAAGTGTTTTTGCACTCCCACTGAGCTTAAGAATCCCTAATGAACTGCCTTTCATAAACATTACCTCTTGGGGTAGTTGGGGATCATCAGTAAGCATTTAGCTAAGTCCTTCTTTGAAGAGGACATAGCCTATTTTTATCTTCCAACTAGCATAGTTCTTCCTATCAAATCTTTTAGACTCAATAAACTCTGCCAGGAAGCTTTTTGTTGTCATGTTTCTAGACTCAAAAATAAAAAAAAATCCTAGACTGACAATAAAATTTAGAGGCTTTGATACCAATGAAAGGAGTGGCTATGTGGTACTGCAAGTTAAGAAATTTAGCAATTTTTTATTTTTCTTTTATTAATATACCTGAATTTCACTTACATGGGCTACAATACACTGCTGTGAATTTAAAATCCTAAACACAACCTAGGATCTTTACTTTTCAAAACAAATGGATATCATCTAGGAGCAATAAGCAATCTTCCACTATGATTTTAAGTACAAAATATGTTCCTAAAAATTTACAAAAAAATATAAAATATGATTGTAAAGTAATTAAATAACCTGAAAAGACTTACTAGAAGATGCCTAGAGTTACCCTCACAGGTCTTGATACACCCCATATCCAATTTCTTGACCGATGATACTTTTTTGTCCTTTTTTTATCTTGCTGAAATTTTAGAGATGGGAAGCTTTCATAGGCAGTATCTCTTACTATGGGGTTTTGGAGAGCATGGAAACATAACTAGCGTTTGTAGGAACTTTAGGAGCAAATTAGGGCTAGGCTTGCAGGCATAGAATCCTCCTATGGCTGGCCATAGTCTTTTTTCTTATCCAAACAGCAAAACCCTAGTTAGGGTTTCAATGTGGCACCCTTGTCTTTTCAAATTTTGGGTGGCATGACCCTTTTTAGAAGGGAGGAGAGAGAAAAATAAATTTTTTATGAGAAAGATTTGGTGCATTGAGGAGAGAGAAATACATGTGTTGACAGAGAGGGGGCTCAGTGGTGTTTAAATAAAAAGAATATCTTCTCCTATGTGGATTAGAATTTCTTCCTTAGGTATTGCTTATCCAATGACACAACTTGACCAATAGGAACTTAGGAAATCTGTGGATTTAGAGAGAACAAATCTGAGCCATCCATCCCATAAATCAACCATCATGATTTTGGGTGGAAATTAGGAACTTTATCCCCTTATAATATGACCCTAGGCCAACTTTTATTTAAGCTAGAGTTATAACCAATCCAAAACTTCCTACTATCTTTCTAAAATCTGTGGGAAGTCAAACTAATTAGAGTTTTAGTCAAACCAAACTCCTAATTAAAACAATTTTTTAATATTTAAAAGATTTCCTTAAATAACCTTTAACCAAGAAGAAAATATTTCACAAATAAAAGCAAGAGGACGTGCCACCCAAGGGAGATTAAGTGCTCCCCACATCCCATCCGTGGGGTGGCACACATGTGGGGCTAGATCCTGGATCCCACATGTGCCCTTATAAATTTTAAAAATTATGAAAATGCCCTTTTGAAGGATTTTACAGCAGAAATAAATTTTTAAAATTCTGAAATTTTTTGTAAAAATCATAAAAACACTTCTAATGCCAAAATAAAATATTTTAGAAGTGGAATGGTACCAATGATCAAAAAATTAACAACAATAAGAGCACTCCACTTGACCCAAGAACCATGATCCACTACGGTTTTCATGTCCAACCTTACAAAGACCTATGACCCACGGTTTCAATGTAAAGGCTCATGATCGGCTTGTCAAGGTTGATTAATAAACAATGGAACCATGATCCTGGATGTAGATTTCAGTATCCCTCTTTAAGAGCAAGTCTAACAGTTGTCACTATAGTGCAAAGGGGGCTCTCTCTATGCATATGTACACATGTCCCAATATAGGGATACTTCCCAGTGATGCGGCTATCATGTGTATATGATGTGTCGAAGTTTTTTGAGGTTTTGGCCCTTGCTTTCACAGGCATACAACCGCTCATAGGAGACCACACCATAGTTGCGGGACCCTTGGGGGAAGGCCTCGGTCTCACCTTAGGAACTCGATCCCATAGTTCCTCTAAAGGATCTTAAGAGGGAGATGGATTTAGAAAATATGGATCTCGCTCCCTATAAAATGAGATCTCGGTCTACATGCTTGTAGGATCCAAGGAGAGGAACTATACTATTAATTGAACTACTGTTCCTCTCCTTAGTATTATAGATTTATTTCTTTAAAATATATTAAGCTGTGGTGCATATCACATTGTATTATGCTAGAAGTATGTATTAATTAACTATTGTTTAATATCATAATAAGTCAATTTATGATATTATTAAACTGTATTATTGTTAGCAAATTGGAGTATTATAACTATGGCATTGGTAATAAGCTAAGGTGTGTGATAATGGATCGAGCGATCATTGGCTCATTCCTGATTTATTCTATTAATTGATCTTGGTTTATGTATTATGGACTATAGATCCCTCCTGGTCAAAAACTCAATCCCAACGTCATGGGATATTGATCCCAGGTATCCTAGGATCTAGCTTCTTAACTTGTTGAATATACAGACGTTGATCCTAACCCAAGTTGCTTCCACCCTATAGCAGTTTGGTGCTCCCCGAACTGAACTTGCTCCCGAACCTGCTCCTGCCTCCAACAGCTATGGACCACATAGTCCTCCTGGCCAGCAAACATCATCTTTGGGCATCTCTTTGAACTCAATAAGTGATGACCCACTCTAAACCCCTTTCGGCAATGCCACATGCCCAGGGGTATGCGTTTTGGACATAACCAGGGCCATAAATCACCCAATCCATGGTCAATCAATACACACACTCCCACTGAAGTACATATTCCACTATAAATTATCATTTTTTAAGCTTTCTAGGTCTTTCATCATCATCATCATCATCATCATCCCAATTGATTGGGGTCGGCTACACGAATCTTGGTCTGCCATTCTGCTCTATTAAAAGTCATACCATTAGTGAGGCCATAAGTCTTCAGATCTTTCCAAACTACTTCCAACCACGTTCTTTTTAGCCTACCCTTTACCCTTTTAAGCCGTTCCACTTGAACTAACTCGCACCTCCTAGCAAATGCGAGTTAACTTTCTAGGCCTTTGAAGAATAGAAAACCCAACAGAAAGACCACAAAGGCCTGAGTTAGAGATTCTCCTCCGAAAGGAATTGGGCTTCACCACTTCTTTTTTCCTCCCCTCATCCTTTTCCATCTCAACTACCAATCTTCTTCAAAGTTTAGCTGCTGCTCTTTGAGCCCTACCCAAGTGCAACATTCAGTTTTATAGGTTCTACCATCCGTGTTGCGTAGAAAATCCTAAGAAGACCAGACATCCATCATCCCAAAATCTCTTTTAAATACCTTCCATCCCTAGTCCTTTGAATCCCAAACTCAACCCTAGTTGCACCCCTTTCATCATTGTTATCTTGCTGAACTGTTGAATTCCAGCAATTCTAACCATGATTAAGCCCTTTAAATTCAAACCTTAAACTTCAACTCGACCTTGCCAAATCCTCCCCCATAAAGCTAGCTTAAGTCCAACCTCATTATTATTATTGTTATTATTACTATTATTGGGTAGTTCAACGGCCCGCGGGCGTAATGGAGCTCAAGACGTCATCTTGTGGTGCCCTGCCATGCTGAGCACTTAGCCTTGTGCCCATTTCTACTTCATTCCTTAATAATAGAAGAGACGAATACATCCAAAACCCACTGTATGGAGTGTTTAGGAAAACCTGAACCCTTTAGAACTTCTAAATCCTAGCCTAAGCAGAACTCCAGATCCTACTCCAAACCATTTCTTTCATGCCCAAAACGCATGTTTCGCTTGTGTAGGAGACAAAGCCCCTTGGTATTATAGCAATTACTATGCGTTATTTGGATAATGTATCTTCTCTACTCTTTTCCTTTTTACAGTTAGATTGATTTAGAAGTGATATTTGCTCAAAATTTCCCTTGGATGTTATCCATGAATTTGCAACCCTGCTACTATTTATTCATTGATGGTCTTTTTTGAAATTATATGCATTGCGAATATGCTTGTGTGTTTATGCTATGGACTATTGTAAAACATTTGTACTTCTGTTGCTTTGTTGTGTAGTTCATTGGCACTCCTCATTGGATGGCTCCGGAAGTGATTCAGGAAAGCCGATACGATGGAAAGGTAACAAAGTCATATTGTTCATTTTGTTATTTGGTATCTGCAAGTACATGTTTTAGGTGAATTTATATATTGTAGCTCACTACCATGAACTGGTATTCTTTCCCGACAGTTACATGCACTTCTTGTGATGACCTTTTCATCTCATTCTGCTTGTAGATTTTCATGCATTTAGATTTTTTGATTGAAATACTTTTGATGTGTTATGGTTATCTCAAGCTGTATGTCAATCTGGATCTATACAATGAGCATAACTTCCTGCTAGCTTCTCATATTTTTGTGTAGATGTTACCAGACTGATACAACTGACAATGTCAGAAGGCCATGGAAATTCTAATTAGTCAGTTCTTTTTCCTCTGCTCATGAAATGCAATCTAACAGCTTCCTTTGTAGGTGGATGTTTGGGCTCTTGGAGTGTCTGCAATTGAAATGGCTGAGGTACTATCTTAAGAACTATGGAAACATTTGTCCCTGTTTTTTATTTGTGATGGGCAACTTTATTATTATTATTATTATTATTATTATTATTATTATTATTATTATTATTGTTTGAACTTAACTTGAAATATTAGCCGAATTTCAGTGTCCTTCCTTTTGTCTCTAATTTTGATGGTTCTGTTTTAACTTTGAGTATTTTTCCCCTCTTTCTTTTTTGTACCTGGGATCTAATAAGAGTTTCCAGTGATTCTCTAATAGTCCATTTTGTCTTTTCATTCTCAGGGGCTACCACCACGATCGACCGTGCATCCGATGAGAGTCAGTATTGTTCTGGAGAACTCAAGTTCTGATTGTATGCATGGAAATCACATTTCAGGATTGTTTGTGCTTTAATGTGAAGCAGTTTTTCTATTTTAAAATAGGATATCTTAGATATGATGCTCTGTTTGGAATACTTTTCTCTAGTTACGTATATATGTGACTTATTCTGGAGATCACAATATAGTGCACAAGTTTTGAATAATGTGAGTGATTTGTCTTGGATGGAAGACCTCTCTTTATATCTACTAGTTTATCTGCTATCTATATCTGTCCATGTACACACATGCACTTGCATGTGGTCTTGTGTCTTTGTCATTCTAGATATTAAGAGGTGGAGACATTCATGTTTTCATAGCTTCGTGAAACTATTGTTTCTCCAATAAAATTACGACTAATGTTTCTCCAATAATATTACTTCCATGAATTTGATATAATGCAACATAAAGGTTCTCACTATGAAGTCCCTCTTGCCCATTTCTAGATTGAAAATTTTGCAGGACCTTGTGTTTCCGCACCTGCATTTTGACATACATGTCCAAAACATGAAATTGTACTGTCCTCTATTGCTTTTTATTCAAATTTTGAGATGGAAGTAGTTGGGAATTACCTATCTCTACTCACCACAACTGGCAAAATCAGCAATAAAGAAATCTAAACATAGATTCTGATGAAGGACTGCCTCTTTGTTATTATGAAGAAGGGAGCAATTTCCTCAAAGGTACATGGCTTCTCAAATTGCCTTTTAAGAGGTTCATCATCATCATCATCATCGCCAAAGCCTTTTCGCAACTAATTGGGCTCGCCTACATGAATCCTGGTCCGCCATTCTGCTCTCTTAAGGGTCATATCCTCAGTGAGGCCATAAGTCCCCATATCTTTTCTCACTGCTCCCAACCATGTCCTTTTTCACCTATCTATTGCCTTTTTTGAGCCTTCCACTTGAACTAACTTGGACCTCCTAACAGGTGCTATACTGGTTCTGTGCCACACATTGTCAGTCTACCTAAGTCTACTGTCTTTCATCTTATTGCTTATTGGTGCCACACCTAAATTTTCTAGAATATATTCATTTCGATTTCTATCCCTTCTTGTCTTGCCACTCATCCATCTCAGCATTCTCATCTCCGCTAAACTTATTCTGCGGGTACACTATTTTTTCACTATGGAACATTCTGCCCCATAGAGCAAAGTTGATCTGACAACTGTAACTTGCCCTTCAACTTCATTGGTATGCGGCAATCACATAAAATTCTAGTTGCACATCTCCAATTCGCCTACCCAACTCTAATTTTATGTGTGACATCTTCCTCAATCTCCATTTTCTTGGATTATCAACTTAAGATATCGAAAGTGCGCTCTTTTTAGTATTTCTTGGCTGTCAATCTTAACTACTTCCTCGTCTCTACTCCTATTATTACTAAACTTGCATTCCATATACTTTGTCTTAGTCTTGCTAATTTTAAAACCTTTAGATTCTAGATCATCCCTTTAAAGTAATACCTTTGTGTTGTTGCCGTTTTGGGGCTCATCGATCAAAACTGTCATCTTTGAACAACATGCACCACGGTACCTCATCTTGTAGGTGTCTAGTTAAGTTTTCTATAGCTAAAACAAGAAGCTACGGGCTCAATGCTGACCCCTGATGTAGATCTATTGTCATTGGAAACTCACTCGTTTCTCCTCTAGTTGTTCGTACATTAGTTAGCTCTCCATTGTACATTTCTCTCACCATGTCGATGTAGTGTCTGGAGATTCGTTTCTTTTTCAACGCCCACCAAATTAAATCTTGAGGTACTCTATCATAAGCTTTATCTAGATTAATTACCTAATAAGGAAAATAGCCTCGGTCGTTGACCTTCTTGGTATAAAATCGAATTGGTTTTCTGATACATTCGTTTCATGACTTAGTCGTTGGTGAATCACTCTCTCCCAGAGCTTCATAGTGTGGCCCATAAGTTTGATCCTTTGATAGTTCATACAATTATGTAGTCTTATTTATTCTTGTAAATAGGTACCACAGTACTTTTCCTCCATTCATCTGGTATTTTCGTTGTTTTCAACACTTTATTGAACAACTTGGGCAGCCAGATAATGCCAATCTCCCCCATACACTTCCAAATCTCTTTCGGGATACCATGTGGTCCTAAAGCCTTTCCTATCTTCTTCCTTTTCAAAGCTTCTTCCAATATCCTAATCCTATGTATGTATCTATAACCTCAGCCCTCATTTATGCAAACTGTTCCTTCTACCGCTATGTTCCCATTATGTTTGTCATTTAATAATTTTTTAAAATAAGTTCCTACCTTTCGTTGACCTCTTCATCCTTCACCAAGATCCTTTGATTCTCACTCTTAATGCATTTAATATGGTCTAGATCCTTTCATTTTTTCTCTCATTTTTGCTAATTTGAAGACATCTTTTTCACCTTTTCTTGTTCCTAGTTTACTGTATAAATTATCATATGCCGTAAGTTTAGCCTTACTATTTGTTTAATGTTTTTTTTAGCATTTTCATATTCTTTGGAGTTTTAATCATTTCTATTACGCTGGCAAGTTTTATAACATATGATCGTTTTTCGCTAATGGCCTTGTGAACCTCATCACTGCACCACCAAGTTTCCTCATCGGAATTTCTTTTTCCTCTAGATTCTTCTAAAACTTCGTTTGCCACTTTCTTAGTACAGTCAGCCATCTCATTCCACATAACATTGACCTCATGTTCAGAGTTCTATTTTCCTTCTTTTGCCTTTTAAGAGGTTAACTCTATTATCTGCAATTTAGTTGAATGTAATCTTCAATGAGAGGAATGAGAGGTTTAAAGTACAGTCTTCTACACATAGGAGAGAAAGTGGTAGGAAGGTTGTAAAATGTGAGAGCCAGTTTGGAGATTCCAATTGTTTACGAGTTATTCCATTCTTAAGTCCCATCATTCATGATTACCAATAGCCATATTCCTGTAATATCCGACTGTACACGAGTAACCCACTTTTTCCACCACATATTTGAAAATAGAAGAAAAACTTCCCACTTATTAAGATAACATATGTTCCCTAATTCATGAATATCCCCATTCATGGATATAATTACAGGTGCATCCCAACCAAACCTGGAAGTGGAAGCTAGGGTTCATTCACCTTTCATTCTAATATGTAGGTTTTTACAAGTATCTACAATCTTCATTCCCCTATACCAGTAAACTTACTAAAATTTTTGATGTGGAAAATGCATGGTATAGGTCCAGTTAGAATAACAGATGTACCATCTAAAACTCCCCATCAAGTTTAGAAATGGATCTGCTTTTTTTGTCACTGCATAGATGCAAACATCCCTAACTTCCATAGAGTAGCAGGAAATAAATACAATGTCAATTTGGTGGAAATGTCAGCTAGTTTTATCTTCAATTTCTGATTCATAGATATGAATAACCTGCTCGTGATTTATTCAGGGTGAAGTAGTAATCCACATGAAGGTATTCTATTGGCCATGGGAAACAGGATTATTGGCAGATTGAGTAGCAACTTGATTGGCAAATCCGTAGGGAGTCTAACTGTCAATTCTACTTTCCCAAAAAAATGGTTTAAGCAATATAAGCTCATATATGTTTCTCTAAGTGCTTGGTGAACCAACCACATTATTTTCTAGCTTTTCCATGTTTCTAAGTTTCCATCAACCATCTTGAAGTTGTATGTTGTAGGTAGACAGAATTGTGCATTTGGATGCCCTCAAATGTTCTCAGACACAAATTTCTTTGCCAGTTGCTGACACTAGCATTTAAGTATCATCAAATCTGTGTAAATCCTTCCTTGTAAGGTCTGTCCTTAGAATGCATTTTGGCCCACCGTATTAATTACATGTATGATATCTTGTCAAGCAATGGTGAGATATTCAACCAACAACCAGTTAATACACGCCAATATCGATAGGAGTTTACCCATAGAATCAATTGGAGAATTGTGCATTTGGATGCCCTCAAAAGTTCTCAGATACAATTTCTTTGCCAGTTGTTGACACTAGCCTTTAAATATCATCAAATCTGTGTAAATCCTTCCTTGTGAGGTCTGTCCTTAGAATGCATTTTGGCTCACTGTATTAATTACATGTATGATATCTTGTCAAGCAATGGTGAGATATTCAACAAACCAGTTAATACATGCCAACATCCATAGGAGTTTACCCGTAGAATCAACTGAGCTTTGGATAATCTTACCCATTCTCGATGAGATCAAGAGTGCCCTTCTATTCAGGGATGGAGATACTATTCCTGGATTTGGCTACTTTGGTCCCTTGGAAAAGTACTTCAAGTGCCTAATATTTGATGTCAAACTTCTATGATAAGTAGTCCTTGAGACAACAAGAACCCATAGCATCATCTTCTTTGAGTACTGTATCTTCTACAAATGCCTAGAGCTTTGCAATTCTTCCAAAATGCCTCTAATTGATGTCGAATAATCGATTGCTTACCCGGTGAGCCTACGTACGGCAGTGTTACTGGCAGGGCCTTGGGATACTTCATGCATGCAATCTGACATCTAATTATCTCTGATATTATTGGGAAGTTGGTCATAATGAGTTGTATATAAAATACAAAAGGTCTACTATCGTTACTAGAGAATGCCTTTTGTTCATATAAATAGCAAGAGAGTTGAGCCTCAGATGAGCTAACAAGCATAAAAAAGAAAAAAAACACTGAAAGAAAAAGTGGGAAGATATTGAAAAATGGAAATGGCTTTGTATATAAGGAATGGAGAAAGGGATCAAGGGAGGGAAATGACATCCCAGGGTTGATATGCTTATTGGCTGTTGGGATCTAGGAATGATTTCTTCATTGGGCCACGACTTGGTCATAAAGTGTGAAACACCCAAAGGAAGAGGTGGGCCACTCACGTCAATGAACTATCAATCTGGTGAAGTTCAGGAGATTGATATTCAGTTATAATTTTCACTCATTAAATGCAAAAACAAAATCATGTCGACAAACTCTGGTGAATCTGCTCCCTAGCCCATAAACCCTCCAATGCTGAGGTATATATACCTCTACAGTACTTGGGAGAGTTACTGTGCCAAATTTCCTGAGTACTGTGAAATCAGGTGAGTTTTAGATGGACTCAGCGAGTCATCAAAACTAGCCTAAGTTCGACATTGTTCTTTAATATACAGGGGGGCAAAATCTGCACCCACTTCCCCCCCCCCCCCCCCCCCTTTCCTTGTTCTTCTTCTTTTTTTTGTTTTTGTACCAAAAACACATCCATTTTGAGCTCAAAATTTTGGCCATTACTCCGTTTTGTATGATCTTTCCGCTATGTAGATCAAATTTGACCAAAAGGCACAAATTTGGCCATTACTCGGTTTTGGATTGACCTAGGAGTTGTCCAATTTCAAAAAGTGGCAATTCCTTTGTAATGATTGTTCCCTAAGGCTATTTTTGGGTACTTCATCCAATCAAGGCTTTTTTCCGACAAAAAAAATAAAATCGCATTTATGTGATTTTAGTTTTGGACTTTGCTATTTATTTGACAATCTCAAGAGCTCAGATCGAGTAGATCCGAATTTGAAGCCTAAATCTGTTTTAGGAGTTTCGATTGGGGTTATTCGAGGAAGCTTTGACAAGGATTTGTGGAGGATTGATTCACCGAGCACGAAGATTGGGGATCACCCTCAAAATTTTGGGTGAATTTCATATTTTTTAATTTAAATTCATATGATTGATTTCTTTTGTTGTTGTAAATTTCATTTTCAAATTGAATTCATGTAATCCATATTGTATATTGTACGTTTTTCTTTTCTGATTTTCCCTTTTTGGAGATTTTTTTTTTCGCCTCATCAGCAGAGTTGACTCAAACTGTCTTGAGCCGCTTGGGCTAGCTAGGGTCTGAATTCTGCTCCCGAGCCATTTTTTCAAACATTGAGAAATATAGAAGCAATCCATTTGGTGTTGAATGAAATGTTGACCAAGAATATTGCATGGGTCTGAATTCAGCTGCCAAGCCACTTTTTCAAACATTGAGAAATATAGAAGCAATCCATTTGGTGATGACTCTTTATTGTTGTATGAAATGCAAGACAAGAATATTGCTTCCAATTTCACATCAGGTAGTATGGTTGTTGCTAAAAACAGAAAACCATGGCATCTTGGACTTTGTCTATAAAGCGTTATGATTCTTTTGAAATGAAGAATGTCAGTGGATGTTTACAATCACATTCTGTTTTTTCTTCTGGACTTTGATTATAAGTTTTTTGTGACGTGTTAATTTTTGTACTGGAGACTTAAGTTGTTACCTTGAGGTTTGAAAGCCAAAAGTATTTTTGTTACATTATATGATATCTAAGAAATCTGTCTTATGGTTCCATGTTCTAAACCTAATTCACTAATGTGAAGCTTACTCTGGTCTCTAGAATCTACTTTACGTTCATCGATATTGTCCTTCGACTTGCTGAATTTAGTTTTACTTGAACCAGAGTGTAATAATGGTAGATATGGCTCAGTTTATTTGTGTAGTAGCTTTTCTGTTCTTCTTATTTCTATTTGTGGGATAGTTTATTTTATTAATTGTTTTTAGCTGTATTTATGGCATAAGTTATTCTTTTCTTAATAATCTTCCTTGTCAGGCAAGTGGGTTTAAATTTTGGTTGGCATCATTCAAAAGCTCATGGCATCTTATACTATGTTTTCCTTTTGGTTACAAGCATCATGTATTAATGATTAACTTTCTTTTGATAGGTAATCTTCATGATTTCCAGTGAGCCTGCGCCAATGCTTGAGGATAAAGAAAAATGGTTTGCCTTTGCCTTTTGACTTTCAAAGTTCTATATACTGAAAATTCACTTACACTCCAAGTGATATTTGTTGGTTGGGACCCCAATCCATAAGAATTCCTCCACAGCTGAGCGACCTTCCAAATTATCCGACAACCTTTCCTTAGATTGCACCATGAGTCTTGGTTGGTCCAGAATACTCCTTGAGTGACCATCAAATTTTAGGTTTAGGAACACACACACACGCACACATGCACGCACAACTCTTCCCAGCGCCTATAGACGAAAAACTATAGGCAAAAAAACTCTTCCCAACGCCTATAGGCAGAAATGAACACACACACACAACTCTTTTTTTTTTTTGAGGAATGTTGACATATGTATTTCTGTAGAGAGAAGGAGTACAAAATTGTGTTTATCCGAGAGTTCCCTCTAGGCGGGATTCTCAATAAAAATTAGGTCAGCAGACCCAGTGCAAAAAATTGGGTTATAAGATTACCCCCTTACACACACACAACTCTTCCCAACGCCTATAGGCGATATGAACACACACACACACACACAACTCTTCCCAACGCCTATAGGCGAAAATGAACACACACACAACTCTTCCTAACGCTTATAGGCGAAAATGAACAGTGATTTCGCCTACCCTCATCACCATCCAAACTTCATCGCACAGTTGTCCGGTAGTGTTTCAATTTCCAATTTTTTTCTACAAATCCAAATTGCTTGAAATTTGGAGCGTGTGTACATCTCAGTGAGGCGCACCTAATAAAAATATGAAAAGTAAATTACGTAAAATAATAAAATTAAATTAAAATAACCCCGTAACCTTAACTTAGAGGTAGTCTGTCGATTATATTTGTGATTATTTTTTACTTATATTTATTAGTTG